AAGGCCGAACGGGAGTCCACAAACCAATACGTGATGGCAGGGTTATGATGCCAATCTTTCACACAATCACAAAATTTTCGCTGTGCCACTTGCTTACATACCAACATTTTTACTTTATTTTGACAAAACAAAAACAGGCACTTTTTTTTTTATCAGTTCTCAAAATGCCTTTGTTGGACTGTTATCTGTATCTCATCTTTATTCTCATGGATGACTGAGAATCTTCACAGATATGCAGTCTTTCAGTTAGTCTTAAGCTAGCACACGCTGTCTGAGACTACTGTGTTGCTAATACAACATTATAGGTCACTACTTACTGTTGTGCTGTATTTATGTGTTTGATGGTTCAAACTAGTGTGGTGTGAGATCTCAACAAATGTTGTCAACACCAATGCTCTGGATATCCAGTGAGTAGTATTTGTCAGCTTAATTTTGTGTGTTTGTTTATTTACCAGTTAATTGCTATTGTTTCTCACACACTGTTGATACGATTGATTGCCACAGTCTGGAGTGACAATGAATTGTAGGAGCCTACAGTGTTTGTTCATCTGTACAAGCAGGAGAAATGCATACAAAAACAAGCTCTCTGGTGGTTTCCTGAACCATGACTACTGACTGTATTTAGATTTCTGCATAATAGACTTGAAACGCTGACCTTTTACCTTTTGAACAGCTCATTAGAGTCCCAAACAGTGATTGCTTCAACCATTTTGAGTCTCGTTTTCTCTCTCATCTCTCTCTGTTTTGCAGCTCTGTCTCTGCCTCTGCTCTGTCTTTCATCCCTCACAGTCCACCTCTTTGTTTCTTACAGACACCCAGCTGTCTATTCCCTCTCTCTGTTCCTCTGTCCCTGTCTGGTGGTGGTGGGCTGCTGCAGACTGCTGTAGGTGGTCAGGATTACTCCAGACAGAAGGAGGGAGAGGAGGGTCTGTCTGGAGCACTCAAAGGACGATTGGATGGCTCATCCTCTCCTCTCCTTTCTCTCTCTTTCTCTGTATATTGAGCACATCCTGAGAAAATGGGATAGATAGAAATGTGAAGACATTATGTGCTTGTTTTAGTACTTTAGAATGAAAACACACACACACACACACACACAATGCAGAATGAAACATAATGAAACCGCATGGGATAGAAGAAGTCAGTTAGAAAATCAGCAAGATAAAGGAAAATAAAGACAAGATGAGGTGCACTGTCTCAGAAAAAAACGAAATATCTCACTTTTAAAAGAACATTGTTATATTTAATTCCAGGCAATTTAGTGCCATGAGCTACACATAAATTGTGTTTCACCTGATTTTAATCAATATTGTGATAGAGTCATATCATAGTGTATTGAAGTGTAATTGTCTTACACTGAAATTGGCAAAACAAAAAAGGAATTCAACAGCAGTGTCTCTGCAGTTTGATGTCTCTCTCATCATCAGCACATTAAACAACATTAATTTTTTTTTCAACTTGACATCTTGGGCTTTGTAGTCTGTGAAACTGGATAGAATGTGTGTGTTTGTGTAAAAGAGAGGGAGAATGGAGTGCTGTGTCCACTATCAACAGGGAAGTGGTGAATTACACCATTGTGCTCTCATTACAGCCACTTTTGTGTGGAAGGTGGCAGCTGTTAATCTTGGCACACAGCTAGAGCCCTTGGATTATCACATGAGTACACACACACACACATACGCACACACACGCACACACACACACACACACACACACACACACACACACACACACACACACACACAGAGTACGTGGCTCTGATAAGCTGTAGCCAGTAGCCTTTAAATTCATGAAGCAGCTACTGTTCCTCATTGTTTTGAATAGCTATCAGCTCTCGTCTCTCTCTTTGACTCTGTGTCATGCTCCTCTTTTGTGGCATTTGTGATAGTGGCTCCCTTTACGATCCAAAACAGAAAGCCTATTGAGTCAGCCTACTTTGTCATGGGACAGATGAAATCGCCATGACTCTACTGACCCTGTTGTAACTCAATGTACTGGAAATGCCCGCGGACATGAAGTGATGTCTTAAACCGCAAATTTCTCAGTTCTGTTGTTTTGCTACTATTTTTAACCTTGTCCTTTTTCTCTCACTTTCTCTCCATCTCTGTCTCCATCTCTGTCTCTGTCCTCCTCTAGTTGGGATGTCCTGAATCAGTTCTTCGGTCCCTGAGAGCAGTTTGCTGATGGGACCTGCTGCGCCGCCATGAGCTTGCAAGATGGCGGCTGCAGCTACGCCAGCAGCGCCAACATGGCCACCATTAGTGGCAGCATGCGGCGGCGCCTGGAGGACCAGGAGTTCACCCTGCGCGTCTATCCAGGCTCCCTGGCTGAGGGCACCATCTACTGCCCCGTCAGCGCCCGCAAGAACACCACCGCTGCTGAAGCCATCGAGTGCCTCATTGAAAGGTTGCGCCTGGAGCGTACCAAATGCTACGTGTTAGCCGAAGTGAAGGAGTTTGGTGGGGAGGAATGGATCCTCAACCCCGGTGATTGCCCTGTTCAGCGCATGATGCTGTGGCCAAGAAGCGCCCTGGAGAACCGCAGTGGCCTGGGCAGTGGTGATGACTACCGCTTCCTCCTGCGGGAGAAGAACCTGGATGGATCTATTCATTATGGCGGCAGCCTGCAAATGTGGCTGCGGGTCACTGAGGAACGGCGACGCTTGGTGGAACGGGGTTTCCTCCCGCAGCCAGCAGGAAGTGACCCTCCATCTGACCTGTGTGCTCTTCCGGAGTTAACAGAGCGCGCTCTTTTGGAAAGCCTCCGAGCACGCTTCCGCCAAGAAAAGATCTACACTTACATCGGGAGTATTCTTATTGTGATTAACCCCTTCCAGTTTCTGCCAATCTACAATCCTAAATATGTCAAATTGTATGACAACCACACACTGGGGAAGCTGGAGCCGCACATTTATGCTGTGGCAGATGTGGCGTACCACGCCATGTTGCAGCGACGGAAGAACCAGTGCATAGTAATTTCTGGTGAGAGTGGATCTGGGAAGACTCAGAGCACCAACTTCCTCATTCATCACCTGACTGCTCTCAGCCAGAAGGGGTTCGCCAGCGGGGTGGAGCAGATCATCCTGGGAGCAGGACCTGTGTTAGAGGTAAGGAACTAACTGTGAACGCCTGCAGCATTGGAAAAATGTTACAGACATAGTAGTTTTATCCAGGTTTGCTGTCAGTGTCTGAAAGTCTTCTAAACTTGTTTTTCATTAAATTTAGCTCTGACCAAGGAATAGCTGAGCTCATTTTACCATCATTGATCTAGAATTCCACCATTGGATGGCAGTAGATGTACTTTTTACTAACATGGATAGAAAATTCCAGATCTTTGCTGAAGAGTGATGAGAATGATATCTGGCAGTGAAACTTTGAGTATGCATTTGTGTGCATTGTACATGACTGATGTGTTTTTGGGCCATCTCATTTTGGTCTGATCGTCTGTTTTGACCTTCTAACTTTTTTAGGAACTCAGGAACTAGTTTGATCCACACGGAACACATGCCTAATTTATTTCCTTGTCTGCAGTTTGTACCCCCTAGAAAGGCAAACAGGGGTGTGAAAAGAGAACTTTTAAGTTCCTGAGTTTAATTTCTAGTCATCTTTAGTTCCTGGAGCCATTTGGTGGAAAAGAGAGATCAAAACAGACCACATATGAAGTCTTAGAAGACTTTCTGGTGACACATAGAGGTCTCTTTAGACTAATTCGAGTCATGTCAATTGTAGCCCTACAAGTTAAATTTTAAAAAAAGTATTTGAGAGGAGATGCAGGTAATCAGTTTGTGTCATACATCTGTTTTGTTGTGTTGCTTAGAAGACATGACTTTTGTTGTCACAGCTTGACAGTATTTATTTTCCATTTATTGTGCCTCCGCCAGTTTGCTTTGTGTGTATCTTTTCATAAACCTTATTCAAGATATGGTACTTACATTTTGTTGTGCTGACCAGTGTGGTCTTTTTATGTTTTGTTCTGATTGGCTGGCTTGTAGATGAGGGTTTCTGAATTTTGTTGCTGTCTGGTATTGCTCTAGTTACTGAGTTGCCAAGCTGAATAAAATTCATATGTTGTGAATTAGATACTGTGGTTGTAGAAAGGAAGTGACAAAAGCCTGATGAAGTCTGAAGAGAAGTCAGCAGGTTATTTCTCTGGTGGGGGAATGTCAGCTCACGAGACCAAGCATGAAATGGATTATAGAAATGTCCTTCTGAAGCTGGAATTCCTTAACAGGCAAGGAAATCTATATTTAGCCCCGGCTTTATCACATATGACTCTTTATATATATATATATATATATATATATAGTGTGACCCAGAAATGGGGTTTTCTGCAGTGTCCAATCTCTGCATTGATGGAAAATAAAACCTAATGGAATGTTGCCTAATCCGCCCTGGATTATAAATCAATAATGGATTATGGATTATGGAATTTCATTGGGAATTTCATGTTTTGGTCAGGTCTATTCAAGGCAAACATGTTCTCTTGAGTCTAAATATGGCCATGTGGGCTTGGTGCCTTCCAATAGTTTGTTGTTTTCTGGCAGCCATTTTGTTCTGCAGCTCACAGCTTCCTGTCAGGATGTATAGGGATGTCATATCCACATGCAGCTGTGCATGTTGACACCATGCGCATCTCATGTGAAGGTCTGTAAAGCAAATGCATTGCTTTTTGGTTAGTTGAATATATGGTTTGTCATCTGGACATCATGAATCACCTTTATGACCGCATTCGCGTTCCAGCAAAAAAAAACAAAAAAAAAACAAAAACGTGTTCGTACAGCTGATATTGGGGGGGGGAATGGTCTCTTGTATCTATAAACATGCAGATTTTTGTCTTTGGATAACATTGTTTTAATGTGTTACCTTATGGATGCAATGTCCAAAATCCCCAAGAACCTCTTATACGATAACAAAACAAAGGATATAGTACATGTGCTGAAAATAACTAGAATACACACGTGGATAAAATTGTTGGTACCCCTCGGTTAAAGAAAGAAAAACCCACAATGGTCACAGAAATAACTTGAATCTGACAAAAGCGATAATAAATAAAAATTCTATGAAAATTAACCTATGAAAATCAGACATTGCTTTTGAACCGTGGTTTACTGGAATTATTAAAAAAAACAAACAAACAAAAAAAAAACTCATGAAACAGGCCTGGACAAAAATGATGGTACCCTTAACTTAATATTTTGTTGCACAACCTTTTGTGGCAATCACTGCAATCAAGCGATTTCTGTAACTGTCACTGAGACTTCTGCACCTCTCAGCAGGTATTTTGGTCCACTCCTCATGAGCAGACTGCTCCAGTTGTCTCAGGTTTGAAGGGTGCCTTCTCCAGACGGCATGTTTCAGCTCCTTCCACAGATGTTCAATAGGATTTAGATCAGGACTCATAGAAGACCACTTCAGAATAGTCCACTGTTTTCCTCTTAGCCATTCTTGATTGTTTTTAGCTGTGTTTTGGGTCATCATCCTGTTGCAAAACCCATGACCTGCAACTGAGACCAAGTTTTCTGACACTGGGCAGCACATTTCTCTCTAGAATACCTTGATAGTCTTGAGATTTCATTGGACCCTGCACAGATTCAAGACACCCTGTGCCAGATACAGCAAAGCAGCCCCAGAACATAAGAGAGCCTCCTCCATGTTTCACAGTAGGGACAGTGTTCTTCTCTTGATATGCTTCATTTTTGCATCTGTGAGCATAGAGCTGATGTGCCTTGCCAAAAAGTTCTAGTTTTGTCTCGTCTGTCCATAGGACATTCTCCCAGAAGCTGTCAACATGCAGTATGGTAAATTCCAGTCTGACTTTTTTATGATTTGTTTTCAACAATGGTGTCCTCCTTGGTCGTCTCCCATGAAGTCCACTTTGGCTCAAACAACGACGGATGGTGCGATCTGACACTGATGTACCTTGACCTTGGAGTTCACCTTTAATGTCTTTAGAGGTTGTTCTGGGCTCTTTTGTTGCCATTCCTATCATCCATCTCTTCAATTTGTCATCAATTTACCTCCTCCTCTCTCCTTCGCTTCCTCTGCTCCATGTTTAGTGTGGTACACACCATGTCACCAAGCAGCACAGTGACTACTTGTAACCCTATAAATAGGCCGACTGACTGATTATAAGTTTGTAGACACCTGTGATGCTAATTAGAGGACACACCTTGATTGAACATGTCCCTATTGTCACATTATTTTCAGTCTTTTCTAGGGTACCATCATTTTTGTCCAGGCCTGTTTCATGAGTTTATTTTTTAAAATAATTCTGGTGAACCACGGTTCAAAAGCAATGTCTGATTTCATTAGTTAATTTTCATAGAATTTTTATTTATTACTTTTGTCAGATGCAAGTTGTTTCTGTGACCATTGTGGGTTTTTCTTTCATTAACCGAGGGGTACCAACAATTTTGTCCACATGTGTAGCTTTTTCACAGAGCTGTGGTTGAACCTGACCGTCAAGCCAACACAGTTGCACCGCTCTGTAGGTTGACTGATTACCTGTCAGAGCTCAGGTGCTAGAGGCGACATCACTGCAAGGGCTGAAAGGCTTGTTATGATAATAACACAGATAGAGGAACATGACAGTGCTCTCTGGGAAACTAGATACTGTTTGGTGGCTTGTGTGCTGTGTGTGGGAGCATGACTGTGTCCCATATAATCACTTCCACATCAATCACCTGTCTGACCAAGGTGAGAAAAGCAATGGGGGCAGTGTAAATGTTACAAGACAACAAGCAATGGAGGTGGTGTGACAAACCATATATTTTATTTGTGGTTCTAGTTTGTTTGCTGGTGTTTTTTCATGTTGATAGCTTTTTCAGCTGTAGGAAAAAAAAAAAAAATCTAATTTCTCCTTCCTAACTGTCTCAAGTTTTCCCTGTTGGGGTCACAGTATTGTATCCACCATCAGTGTCGGGGATTCAGAGATTCGGATTCAGAGATCAAAATTGTTATCCTGAGCACAGCAAGGACCGAATATTTGGACATTCGGCTCCAGTCCTACCTCCAAGACTCACAAAATACCACATTGCATTTACTTTTTTTTTGTTTTTTTTAAATGATGAAATGTCTGATTATATGAAACATGATGAAGATTAATGAGCTGTAGAGATGCTCTAAAGTGGATTTTGTCAGCAAACCTGACCAGCATCCATCTAAGATATGAGACCGGTATTAGTCTTCTCATGTCTTGGCAAAAAAAGCAAAGTGTGTTTCTGTACTAATACAGACCTAACACAGCATGCACATCTTTTATCAATGTGGCATTTTTATGGACGGCACAGTGACTGATAATATACAGGGTTGAGGGCAGTCATGTCCAGATGTGTCCAGTATGGCCCGCAGAGCAGGTTAAAATTCTTCAGGAATCTAAACATAGCAGTAAATGTCAGATGTCATTTGGTGTTGGTCAAAAGCACTTGGAAGCCATATTTTGCATTAACATGAATGGCAGTTTGACATAAAGTGTGTGTGTAATAATAATACATGGAAATGTAGCCATATGCCAACATAGCTACATCACTATGTATGAACACGTTCCAGCTTTTCCAGCATCACTCAAGAGCTGAACATGACATCCACATGAATGCATGGTTAGCAACAACAACTGGATGCACAGATATTATGCACTGCTCTGAATGCCCAGGGGCCCGACTGGTGTTTTTGAGAAGCAGATTATGGGGTAAAACTTTATCGTCAGCCAGGGCACAGTTGGCTCCTGAACTGAACCAGTCAAATTCTTTGGTTTCAAGAAGTTGTAATGACAATTACAGAACCATTTGCTTAGGTCAGATACTACTGCTGCTGCTGCTGCTGCACTCAAACTTTGGTAAACTTTGAATGCTGGCCTGAGTCAGGCTGAAAATATGAGGTCAGCGAGGTTGATTTAAAAGGATTCTGAATGCGTGCCACTCCAGATGAAGTATTACAATTCTGGCCACTGTGTTGATTCCATGATATGTTCAGTCACTTGAGTTCCCTTTTATTCTCCTATGAAACTTTATGCTCTATTCTCTACATGATTGTGACTTTGGTTTGTAGCACGAAGGGTCTTTAATCCTACATCACATATTCTTTGTTCCACTCATGTGCAGTTTGAAAA